ATGACACACAAAAAATTACACTATCTTATTTTTAAGATTATTTTGCATTTGTATAATGAAATAAGCAAATTTTAATTAATGTGCTATTAAACCATCCTTTAGTTTGAATAGCATATAAAATATAATGTGAACATCTACTATACAACTGTGCACAATAATATAGGATAATTCTGCTCTATCACACTAATAATAAATCTAATATCTTAAAGAACTGTTTTAAAATTGGAAAATACAAGGGCCTTTTATTATTTTAAAAGGCAATTTGCTAAAAATCACAAAACTTAATATTTAATTAAATGTTCCATATCATCTGTAATGTTCCTAAGAGTAATATAAGTTAAGTATAATAGAAAGCAACACATTCTACTTATCTGTATGTTTCTTATAAACATTAATCCTGCTATCTTATATCTACTGGAATAAGCCTACTGAATTTAAATAAACTTACTTCAGAGTAAGCAGGAATATTTTTTAAAGAATACACTCAAAGGGGTAAATCAACAAAATAACAGAATGATGAACTGGAATAAAAAAACAACGATGCAACTGCATTTTGGAAAGATATACAGTTCAAATATAAGAATTCTGATGAACAGGTTTTTAAAACAAATTTAGTATGTCACAAAAATCCTTAATACAATATAAATGCATTTTACAATTATTTGAAAACCACCTATCATTATTCTAAGAGCTGGTCCACTTTAAACTGAAACCAAACAAAAAAACGTGTTACTTTAATCTGTACAAATTGCATTTTAGAAATCCCTCTTAGCAATTTTATAGCTAATTTCTATTCAATTATTATCCACTTGAAAGTGCTATGTGGTACCCCTCCCCCCAGAAATTGGTGAATGCATCTGGTTCCTAAGTGAATGCAGTGTTTCCAATTGTTGTAACAAAGCAAGACTGTTCTATAGCACTAGTAATCTGTTGATTTAGAGAAATGTTAAAATGGAGATGTAAATTCTTCTGATACTCAAGATTAACTCATTTAGCATATAGAATAGCAAATTAACTATCTTGGGATTTATAATAATTCCTTCAGATATTTTGCCACTCTTTATAATGACAATTTCTTTCAATATGGCATCCTTTTAAATGTTTTGTTCATAAATACCTTTTGTTCATGACTTGTCAGCATCAACTACTATGCAGATTCTAATTAATCACTGCATGTAAGCATTCATTTTCCAAATTACCAAAAGCATGAGCTCTCTCTCCAACAACAAACATTTCAACATAGTAGCTTATGTTATTCTGACTAGTTTTGGGATCTCTGGGAGTATTCTGCTTTATGAAAAAAAAGATCCCATTGCTCTATAGTTTCAAATTATCAATGTGTTTCTAAAATCTTTTTTAAGACTGCTACCTAAATTTACTGATCTTCATATAATTTTAAATATAATTTATCTTTCAGTCTGTCAAGCTGTCATGTTCCTTTCTGCTACTGTGTAACATTCTTTCTGTAAAGAAAAAAAAGTACACCTATTTTTAACAGCTTTTCTTAATGGATTATATCCCTAAAATGCAGCACCAAATGTGTTTTCTCATGTGTACATTTACTAGATACAATAACTTGAGGAATTCTTTAAGAGACTCAGGAATTAAAATACTAAAGAAAACTAAGGTTAGTGGGTATCTTTGAAAAATATTATCTGCACTTTTTTGCCTGTTTTATATGCTTAAAGTGTTTTTGGCCTGTTGCTGAACTAAGAATCAGGAACAGTGGCATTGCTTACAATTACAAAGTGAAATGAAAAGGCCTGATATGTCTAAATTACAACATCATCTTATTCTAGAATATACACAACTAGTTAAATCTTTCTGCAGGCAGAATATTTGAACTGAGTCAGATAAAAATGTTGAACACTTAACTAATTTAGCTCCTGATGTGATTTTGGTAAATCAGAGATCTGAAATTGCAGAACTTTACATGTAACTAATTATCAATATATATTTTATATTCTATAAACTGACATACATTTATTAAACAAGAGAATAACCTTTTGATCACAATTCTCTAAAATAGTGAAGTATTTACATTGTTGCATTTTAAGGATGCTGGTAAAGCCGATTTTGAGCTATTCAGTGACCACAATAATAACGCTTTAAAATTCCTCACTGGGATGCAATGTAGTCCTTTTGATGGGAAGACTGTCTTTCTTATTCCCCAGAAATAAATCCATTCATTTGATCATGTAGTCATTGAGGGCAATACAAAACAAACCAAGTGTGAGAAATTCTATGTGATGAAGTAAACAAAACAAAACCCCAAAAAAGGGGGGAAAAGAGAGAAAATCCATTTCCATGACAAAAAGATGCTTTGTTCTTAATCTACACACCATATGCAAGCGTTTCTTTTTAGCATATCTCCTGTTCTAATCTTGGGTGACATGGCTACATAGATAAGACTCACTAAGCAAAACAAAAAACCCTCCTAGTTGAACAATTTTCTTCAATTTATTAACTCACCAGAAGTGCCATAATGAGGCACTGAGGTTTTTCCTTGTTAACTTTTAAAGTATTCAGAGTACTGTTTACATTCTTAAACCAAGCAATCTATCAATCCACCCTGATAGATTTTTCTATCATTTTTCTTTTACTAAATATAAATAAATATAAAGCATTTGGAAGGCGTTTAAAAATATTTTAAAATAAGGAATCTCTTGTTTTAATTTCAACTATCCTTCAAGAAACTTGTTTCACTTCATTTTATTATTACCATTATCCAAGAAGCTGTTCAAATCAGCAGTTGTCAGCCTTTTCCTTCTTTTCAAAAACTTTCTTATTAAAGAAAAGATATGGAAGAAATTAGAAGTTCTGAATAATTGCCAGTGTAACAAATGCATTTACCTTGGGAAGTCAGTTCGTGCTGCACTAAGCTGCAAGGTTGCAGTGATGATTTAGAATAGCCAAAACTCTTATGGCTTAGTTCTCTCCCTCCACCAGCCCCTCTTGCCCAATGAAGTATGTGTGTGTGCTTTTTTTTCTGAAGCATTTAAATGTGTAATTTTCCTTAGAGATTTTTTTTTTTTTAAATGAAAGCAATCAAGCTAGAATGTGCCGTTTAGGAGCAACAGAATCATTCTCCCAATGACTGCCTCTTTATCACTATCCTGATCAGCATGGAAATTTTAAGTGATAACCACAGGAAGAATGAAATACTTCGCTCTGCCTTCATAACTGAAAAAAAAAAAGTAATCTGAGGTGGTGGTGGTGGTGGTGGGGAAGAAACCTAAATTATAAACTTTAATGTCATATACAGATTCTGGAGTTTAGAATGATTCCAAATTGACTTCTAAAGGCAGCTCAAAATCCTTTTAGTCAATTGCAGCTAAATCATTTTGAAACCAGACGCAACTTGTTTTATAAGCACCCTCTGAGCACGCCTGGAGGTTCTCTTGGCCTCAAGGGGCCCAAATAAATTCTTTTTTTTTTTTCTCTTTTCAATAAGTGCGGAACGAATATCCCATTTTATAATCCACCTCAAATCCTAAGGAAACCCAAGAACGTCTTCAAGGCAATTGTGGGGGCAAATGAAAGCAGGCGTGAGGCAAGTTAAGCTCTGCCCCAGGGCAGACAATTTATCCACCCCAGGCCCTGACAATTATTCCCAGGCGTCACTCCTATTCCCTCCCTAACATTTAGAAGAGACCTCTCTTTTTTTCCCTGCCTTTGAACATCTGACCACCTCTACTTATTTATGGGACACTCCCCGGCCTTTGGAAGCAGCACCCCTCACCCCACCCCAAAGCCAGGCTTAGGTCCAAAAATTCCGCGGAACCAGAGCGAAACCCTGCTTCACATAACTGATCCTGCACAATCTTTGCTGAGTGTGTGTCTCTGTGTGTGTGAGTGAGTGTGAGGGATGCTGAGCAAACCCCCCCCCCGAAGAGCCCTTCCCCCTCGGTTACTTTAGGAATTACACTTAAAACTCTAATCCGGAATCGAGCCGGCCCAGCAGCCAAGCCCGCCGGCGGGGGTTTACTTCAGAGTAAAAAACAGAAGCGAACCGCGAAAGAAAAAAATTTTTTTTTCCACCTCAGACGCGCAGCAGGCCGAAGGCGGGAGCGCCTCGCCGGCCTTATTTGTTATCCAGGGGCAGGGAAGCCGCCTCCGCCTCCAGCAGGGCCGCTTCCGGGGTGGGTTTTTTTTTAGGAGGTGGGGATCTCTGACACCACCGTAAAGATCCAGAAAGGATTTTCACCGTTTGGTGTTTCTCCCTCTCCCGCCCCCCCCCCCCGCCCCGGTCCCTCAACTCTCTTGGCAACTTTCTGCTGTGAGGGAAAAAAAGGACGACAAGCGGCGCGGGGAACGTGGACGACGAACCGGCGAACGAGGAAGGAAAAGAAAAAAAAAAAGCGGCCGCTTCAGCCGAAAAGTCAAACAACTAGGAAAGAATCGCAGATTAAAAAAAAAGAAAAAGAAACGAAAAGGCGGCAAATCGAGGCTCGGCTTAAGAGCGGCGGCGAGAAACAGCGGCGTCCGCGCGGGGCTGGGTAGCGGGTGTGTGTGTGTGTGTGTGTGTGTGAGGGGGAAGGAAGAGGGGAAAGAAGCACGAATTTGTAGTACGTACTTCGCTCCCACCCTCCAACTCCCGAGAGCGGGGACGGTCTAACGCTTCCTCCCCCCCCCCTCTCCTTCCCCTCAGATGTCCAGCCATAATTCAAGCCCGCCGCTGCACGCCGAGTTTGCCAGCAAGGGACTTTGGGTGGGAAGCGAACACTTGCTCCGAGGTGGTGGTGGGGGGGGGGGAGGCGAAAAACTTCGGCTGAGCCGCTTTAACTTTTAAACTCCCACCCGAGGTTTCTCCTACCTCTTTCCCGAGGTGGCCCTTCTCCGGGCTGCTCAAGCTCCCTCTAGATAGTAAAATCCACCAGATCCCCGGGCTTAGAAAACACCCACCGCGCGCGCACACACACACACACTCACACTCACACAGGCGCACGTAGGCACCCGACTCCGGCCGCCCAATCCCGCCTTGCCTTGCCTCGCCTTACCTTGTTCGGGAAGCACCTCAGCTTGTAGCTCCTCGTCGGATTTGAGATGTTGGGGCTTCGCTTGCTTTCGTCGAGACATACTGCTAGCTGAGGCGGCTTCTTGTGCCTGCTTTTTGCAGAGACATCGGCGAGAGGTGGAGCGCTGCGGGGAGGGGGGTGGGTGGTGGTGGGGTGGGTAGGTAGGTGGGTGGGTGGGAGGAAAAAAAAAGACTTGGCGGCGAGGAAAAGTGTATTGGTGGCGTCGGACCGCCACCCCCCCCCCTCTCCTTATTTCATCGGCAACAAATTAGCGCGGGGGGGGGGGGGGGGGACGGGCGGGCGGGTGGTTTGTCGTGCGCGCAAAGAGAAACGGAATAAATAAAATTCGCCAGCGAGCCAAGCGGCGACGGCGGAGCAGCCCGGGCGGGGGTATATGCGCGGGGCTGCGCTGCAAAAAAAAAAAAGAAAAAAAAAAGGATAGGGCGGCTGCGCGGCTCGCGCATGGGGCTCCGTAATTATGATTGTGAATAATGCATGGCGATTAATGATGCTGGGGGCAAGCGCGGATTGGCCCGGCTCCAGTGGACTCGGGCTGCATATGTAAATGCGGGAGGGCGTTCGGCAATTAGACGCTCCGCTCGGCCAAACGCTGCGTCGGCCCGGCACCAGCAGCAGCAGCAGCGCCTCCTGCGAGAGGCACCGACTGCGACGGCGGCAGTAAGCGAGGGGACACAGGCGGCGGCAAAACACACGCCCGCAGTCCGGGGAGACCGCTCTCTGCGGGCGCAATTGACTTTACACAAACATAGGTGCACAAGCTTCACTGCTGGGAGAAGGGCAGCGTCTCCGCGGTTGGCTTTCGGGTAGTAGNAAAAAAAAAAAAAAAAAAGCAGTATATTTCCCCTTCTTATCTCTTGGCTTTCGCCGCCTAAAATCTTCGCGTCCTATTCTCCCGTAGTTTATTCCTTCAAAAGCCTGGCCCGGAAGCGGCTTCTGTTTCTCTTGGGGGGGGGGGAGAGGGAGGAAGAGGAGGGGAAAAAAAAGTAAACAGCCAAACTCGGAGACTTTGAACACTTCTCTGCCTTTCACCTCTGTGGCGTTCGTCCTCCTCCTTTGTGCTACCAGCCTCTCTCTCTGCCCCAGAGCCGCCTGGTTTTTGCCGCTGTAGCTGGTCACTTCCTGTCGTCCGGGGGTCGGAAGTTTTCTATCTCTCGCCAGTCCACCTCTCTCGCCCCGAGACAGGTGGCGAGCCCCCCCCCTTCGTTTAGGTGCCACTCCTCCAGACTTGTCCTTGTCCTCCTCCTCCTCTTTGAGTTGCTGCGCCTCCCGTGCCCAAGGACCTCGCTTTTGTTTGGAAAGAGACAATCCCGCTTGGCCCGGCGAAATATTAAGCCAAGCAACGACGGCGACCCCCAGCGAGCCTTTGAGGAGTGGGTGGGTGTGTTTGGTGGGCGAAGGTGTTGATTGTGGTGCTGCTGGGCGGAGGAGGGTATCCCCCTCGCCGACGCCCCTTCCTCCTGGCCCCCCCCTCCTCCGCTTTCCTTCTCTCCTCCTCGCCGCTCCCGCAGCCTCGATTGGGTGGCGAGGCTGGCTTGGCACCCGGGCGCTCGCCAATCGATGCCTCCCCGCGCGTTGGGAAAGGAGGAATGCGCACAGCCGGGGCGTCGCTGTTTTCGGCTAGAGAGAAACTTTCAAGTTTGGAGAGCGGCGGGGCTGGAACGGCGGCTCCTCCTCCTCCTCCTCCGTCTCCACCCTTCGCTGCTGCTGCTGCTACTGTCGCCCAGCCGCCTCTGAGAGCGCCCCTCCAGAAACGCTCGCCCACCCGTGGCTTTTTGAGGCCAGTCGCTCTCTTTGAAGAGGGAGGGATTCCCTGCCCTAACTTCCGATCCTTCGCAGGCCTGGATCCCTTTCCCTTCCCCCCCCCTCCGTTCCCGCTCTGTGTTGGTGAAATGGCCGGGGCAAAGAGGAGGGGGGGGGTGTTGAAGCTGAATTAGAATCGCTTCTGCTTGTCAGATTTCCACCCCCCCCCCTCCCCGGCAAAGGGAAAATGTGCTCTTCAACCACAAGTTTTCTTTTCTTTTTTTCTTTTTTCTTTTCCCCCTTTCCTCCGTCTCTTAGGGGAAAGTAACGCGGAAGACACCCCTCTCTGGTACCGGGCTGCGCCGCTACTACATCCACCGACCTGCTGGCCTGCGTCGGGGTCCTCCGAGCGCTCGCAACAAAAACTACGGTGCAATTCTCTCTCTCCGCCGCCCCCCCAGCCTCCCCTCCGAGCATTATAGGGTTTTTCTGCTCCGCTTGTGCACCGACACCCCTTCCCCCTCCACTCCCCGTATCGTTGGTTTTGCAACCCGGTCTTAATTTCGCTGGTTTGCCTTTTGATATCGCTCCACCTCCGGCGATCCTTTTCCGCGAGTGAAGGCGGCGGACTTTCTCAGCCTCTCCTGTCCGAGTATAGCCCGCTGGAGGTCAGGCAGCAAGCGCCCTCCTCGCGGGAAAGGAACGTGGGGAGGGAGATTGTGAAAACGGGTTTCCTCTCAAACCCCCCCCCCCCGCTTACTTTATTTTATTTTAGCTTTCATTCAATCTGTCGCTGGCCCTTCAGGTCATCCAAAACTGGCCTCTTCCTGGGACGTTGGCTTCACCGGATAAAGTTTTGCCTATAAGAGTTCATCTGATTCAGCATCTTAACTCGGCTTTTCTTGCCTCCACCCTCCACCCTTTTGTAATAAAACAACATAAAT